CTTTAAACTCAATCTAAAATAAATACTAACCTTATCGACCTCCCACCATGCAGGATAAAGTTTAGCTTGTCCATTGCCCAAATCAAATGATTCATCTCGTGCATTCTTCAAGTGAACGGCGTGAAAAGACGTCGGCATTATTGTATATCGTATATTTTTATTTTTCTTAAGTTTTCTTATTATTAGAAGACGTGTCACCCACGCATCGATATGCTGTTTTACAAAAAAGACATATATAGTGACTTACATAAATTTAAAAAAAAAATTAATCAAATTGAAATATAAGAAAAATATAAGACTTACCCCCCCATCGAATAGCCATTGTCTTCGACCCCTAATAATACGCCCCACCAAGGCCGTTCAAGCAACAAAAGATATCATCGGTGAGCTTGCATATGTCAGTGAAACACCCCTTGCTCCGCTCATGTAGATAAAAATCAACTGCGGTCTTAGCCCAAAGGGTGTTATCCAAAATTGTGTCCGGTAGTTGTTCCCTCTCCTCTTCAGATACCGGTATGGTACTGGTCGGTAACTCATACGAGAGCCAACTTGAATCCATCATGTCCGGCACGTCAGAGGGTTTCTCAAGAAGCCTACATATGACGCCATGTGAATCGGGCTCTTGAATGGTGGGAGGGACCTCTTCAATGATGACAGTGGCCTCTTGAACGGTGGGAGGGGACTCTCGAGGAATGATATGGGGGGCCTCTTCAACGATAGGAGTGGACTCTTGAGGGATGACAGGCGAGTCGGGCTTCTTCTTGCGGTGTCTTCGCACTATTGGGGTGTACGGAGACTTAATAGCACGTGCACGCTGTCTGATGCGTGAACTCCGTCGTGCAAGCATAACCCGACGTAAAGCATCCACTCTATCGGGCCGCTAATAATTAAATACAAAAATCAGTAAATAAACAGACATGATATTTAAACAGTGAAAACAAAGACAAATATGTTTCAAACTTGCATTGTATTCACCCAAGTCATTATTCTATCATAGTTCACAAAATGCATCAGATAACAAAGAAAAATATGTTTCAAACTAATACCTGAAGTTAGTATTTGTTTGTTTTGTCTATTGGTTGAAGTAATGCAATCCATTCAAGTTTCAATTTGCAGAAGAAGAAATAGTTTACTTTCGCAACACGAAACTTAAAATCGCAACGCGAAACCAAAATCGCAACGCGAAATGAAAATCGCAACGACAAATCGCAATGCGAAATGAAAATCGCAACAAAAGAATCGCAACGCGAAATGAAAATCGCAATGCGATTTTGGTTTCGCGTTGCGATCTTGTCGTTGCGATTTTGGTTTCGCGTTGCGATTCTGTCGTTGCGATTTTCATTTCACGTTGCGATTTTGGTTTCGCGTTGCGATTTTAAGTTTCGTGTTGCGAAAGTAAACTATTCTTCTTCTGCAAATTGAAACTTTCAACCAAAGACAAAACAAAGACAATACTATTTCACAGTGTTAAAGAATACACAGTTTAGCAGAATTGGCAGCAACCGAACAAATTTACTTTCAACCAAAAGACAAAACAAAGACAAATACTATTTCACAGTGTTAAAGAATACACAGTTTAGCAGAATTGGCAGCAACCGAACAAATTTACTTTCAACCAAAAGACAAAACAAAGACAATACTATTTCACAGTGTTAAAGAATACACGTTTAGCAGAATTGGCAGCAACCGAACAAATTTACTTTCAACCAAAAGACAAAACAAAGACAATATATTTCACAGTGTTAAGAATACACAGTTTAGCAGAATTGGCAGCAACGAACAAATTTACTTTCAACCAAAGACAAAACAAAGACAAATACTATTTCACAGTTAAAGAATACACAGTTTAGCAGAATTGGCAGCAACGAATAAATTTACTAAGCAATCTAAGTGAAATGGCTAATCTAAGTGAAATTACGAGTAAATTTTATCATTAAGTTAAATATGGAAAATCTTAAACTTACCTCGTTGCGTAGAGTATGAACCTCATTCTGCAACGATACTATCATCTCACGTAGAGCGGCAACCTCACCACGTAAAGTTGACACCTCCACACGCCATGCACCATCGTTATCGCGTAGAGTACCGATCCTCACGCAAGGCATTGACCTCATCACGTAACTCCCTTGACTCATCCCGTTGAGGTGGAGGTGGAGAACAGGGAGATAGGAGTCGTGGCATCTTTGCCGGTCGCCTATCATGAGGTGATGGTGGAGAAGAGGCTCGATGATGTGACGGGATAGGTGATGGCTCTCGTTCTAGAGGTGTATAGTCGGTTCGATCGGGTGATGGCTCTAGGTGAGGTGATGGCTCTCGAATTGGAGGAAGTGGATGCTGCTCATCATCCGTGCCATCAAAAAAATTCTGACTAGCTTGCCACCATCAGTGGCAAGCTCTTCCTCCGGGTGTCAGTCTTTGTAATGGAATGTTGGCCTCCTAAAATATAAAAACTCAAACAAAGTTAAACGTCTACTTAATTGTTTATATATTATATGAAAGTATTTGTGTTAACTTACATTATTTATTGTGGCATATGGTATTAAGTCTTCCCAATCCAACAGAGTTTTCCTCTTCCAGGAAATAGCCCTGGGAATATCATTTGACGTTTTTTATTGCATATGTACGCATGCTGGGGAAAGCCTCGAATATCCAAATACAAACAATATAATAACAAAATTAGTAATTGTTAAATAATTAATTATAATTTTAGAAAACATTATATAGAAATTCTTACCTTAAAGGCCCAAACAAAGCCTGACAAAGTGTATTTGGACCCATCGCCCCGCAAACTTTTGCGGTCATCAAAGGCAGACGACAACTTAGTCCAGGTAGCTTTCCATATACGAACCCACGGAAACAGATTCCATGCATTCAGGTCCTCTACCAATATTATTAGCTCCCGATGAATAGGTTGTCTGGCCTCTGCCTAAAAAGCCGGCATACACAAGTAGTAGAAGGCATACTCGGACAACATCGACGTCTTCCATCCGAGTGAAACCAGCTTTCTTATTAAATAATTTCTTCAGGTCGTCAACATGTAGGTTCGGCTTCTCCATTGACTCATCCGGAAAAACCGGGATAACCATGATGGGCGGGCGATATGACGAGTGTACCGGCCTACATCATCGTGTCCGAATCGTAGACCAGTGATTAAGCAGAACTCCTTCCGCCCAAAGCAAGTATACGCTGGTGGAAAATGAAACCATCTCTTCCTCACCACGTTGTATACTGTCGGGGTAGATTGATGTCATGGTCTGAAGCCACAAATGGGTCAAATTAGCATCTCCACCCGGATGCTGTACTCTCAGCCATGGCCCGAAGCAGGTTTCCTCAAACAATTGTCTTTGAGCAGGTGAAAGCTTCTTTGCAATTGTAGTGGCCAGGCTGACTTTATTTCTCAAGGTCAATTGAGCCGAAAAAAATTTCTACAAAAACAATAAACATACCAAGTTAGATATACCAAAAACTACACTGTGAAGATATACCAAAAACAATAAACATAAAAGTAGTAGTTATTCTTGAAACTAAAATTTGCAACACTGTTTTGTCTTTTGGTTGAAATGAAATCGCAACGAGAGAATCGCACGCGAGATGACAATCGCAACGAGAGAATCGCAACGCGAAATGAAAATCGCAACGAGAAAATCGCAATGCGATTTTGGTTTCGCGTTGCGATTCTCTCGTTGCGATTTTCATTTCGCGTTGCGATTCTCTCGTTGCGACAGTCATTCTCTCGTTGCGATTTTCATTATCTCGTTGCGACTCTTCTGCAAATTGAAACTTGAATGGATTGCATTACTTCAACCAAAAGACAGAACAAAGACAAAGACAAATACTAACTTGAAAATCGCAACGAGAGAATAGCAACGCGAAATGAAAATCGCAACGACAGAATCGTAACGCGAAATGAAATCTAAGTGAAATGGTTAATCTATTATTGAAATGACCAGTAAACTTATCATCAGTTTCAATATGAAAAACCTACATAATGCAAACATTTCAAAATAAATAATTAAAAAAACTAACCCTCGGAGGTTGATTTTCCATTTCTGAATATTGTGAGGGATTTCTGACCGTGAATGGTTGTGAGGGATTTCGCGGAGATGGGGACGGAATCTTCGGAGATGGGGACGGATTTCTTCGCCGTAGAGAGTGAGAGATGGAGATGGGACTGAGTTGTGATTTTAGGTTTTAGGTTATGAGTTGCGATTACGGGATTTTGTCTTAATATTCTTTTTGTAATTTGAAAATAAAATACGCGTAGCGATTATAATGGCGCTTTAAATATCGCGTTGCGATTTACGGATACGCGTTGCGATTTTATGTATTATCGTTGCGATTTACGGATACGCGTTGCGATATACGGATACGCATTGCGATTTACCCATACGCGTTGCGATTTACGGATACACGTTGCGATTTACGGATACGCGTTGCGATTTATGTGTTCGCGTTGCGATTTTCATATTCGCGTTGCGATTATGGAAAATCGCAATGCGAATTTGTACTATCGCATCGCGATTTTCAAGAATCGCGTTGCGATTTTGGAAACTGATTTGCGATTCTGGAAACTGATTTGCGATTCTGGGGATCGCGTTGCGATTTTTATTTCGCGTTGCGATTTTGTTGGTCATTTTGGCAAATCCAAAAAAAGTTGGTTAAAATCGTATATTATAACTTTTTTTTGGTCACTGAGGCGATTTTCTCTAAAAACTAACCACCATTTAAGCAGGTCGATGTTTCATATAAGATCATTTTAGAACAAATCATTTCCCAATACTATCATTTTGGCATTTAAACCGTTTAACCTTACTCAAGTTTATATCAAAAGTGAGCCTCTTCGACCTTCGTTTGTTCTTCTGAACCTGAAAGAGAGAAATGAAGGAAAATGATGGCAAATTTAAAACTGCCAGAGCCATTCAAATAGTTGATATGTGACTATAGAAAATATAAATATGTATCAGTTCAAAAGTCGGCTCTCAAGTCCCCTTTATACCCCCATAACAAGATCCCAATCCCGGTCCGATGGCTATCTACATTATAATTAATCTTAACCAAATCCAAACCCTTCATTGGCTTCGTGAATTGCGAGCAACAATCTCTCTTCTAGATGTTCCTTCGATGGATACTCGGGTAAATCCAATTGATTGAAACTGCATTAATCACAAACAAAGGTCTATAAGTAACACAATGCAAATTGCAGAAAACCTGAAAAGAAGGAAACCATTAGCTGATACGCTTCTTAGGGGCCGAAAAAGCAGAGTAGCACAATTAACGAGCTAAGTATATATATATGGAGAAATAACATAGAGATGACAGGGCTGATTGATTACCAGGTGTGAGCAGAAGGCAAGTGGTTGGAGCTACCATATGCTCTGTGTATCTGAAACTTCTGGGAACCTGAAATACCTTGAAGTGCACTAAAACCTTCTAAAGGCACCTGTGAAATTACAGATATCGAGAACTGGTATTTGAGATCTGTTATGAAACAAAAGTAATCTTCTAAACTAATATATTTCTCTACAAGCTTGAAAGAAATAGACAGGTATTTTTAATACCTGAATCTAATTCAAGTACTAAATAGTCAACCTTTAGATTTAACTACAGTTAATCACTTTAAATGACAAATACAAATAGTATTTATCTGACAATTTCGGTGTTGAAATACCTTTGAGGTGCCCGTCACAAACTGTAGAAGCCGAGCTTTGTCCTCCTTACTGAACCCTTGAACAACCTCCCAAAACCACTGTATAACAGGTGATGCAGTACTATAACCAGAGTACTCGGTGTTTGCCCTCATATCATCCACTAGGAAAGATGAATCACAAATCAGGTCAATATTCAGAAGATGGTGGCAAAATAAAGCATTCTAACATTAAATTTATTGGCTTACAATCTATTTCTGGAAGACCACTTATCAGTAACTCG